GGTTGAGACATGAAATGAGGCTGAAGGAAATGCAGCCGTTGCTGTGCTTGCCGAAGTGGACTATGGTATAAAACAATCCCGAATGCTGAAATAAACTCCTCACCTGTGCGAGGTCATGACAATGCTGCGGCCGGAATTGAGGATTTTCGTCAAGAAATCCCACAGGAAACGCCGTGCGGCTGGGTCCATTCCAGCTGTCGGTTCGTCCTAACAGAACAATGCATGCACGAACACACACACACACACACACACACACACATACACACACATACACACACATGCACGCAAACACACACACACACACACACACACACACACACACACACACACAAACACAAACACAGTGTGAAAATCAATGAATTCAAACACCAAATGATATGCTGCAATACAGTGAATATCAGTGTAATAGGAGTTGTGGCCATTAGCCCCAGCCCTATTTGCTATAGACAAAGCCGGCTTGTGTGCGCACTGGTCCAGCACATGACACACCTGGTGATTCAATGAGAACAAGCACAACCCAGCCATGTCGTCGTGTGTATGCAACACATTCAGCAGATCACTCGTAACAGCCGCTCACCAGCAATAAATCACATCGCTGTGCAATCAAGATAACCAGGGCTGGTGTTGAATTAGTAGTGCAGTAAAGCTCCCCTGATCCGGGCACGATTGTCTACCGGGCACCTTTCTCACCATTCTAGGGCCACAAAATCTGGCTTTTCCAGGGAAAACGGCCCCCGAAGCTATCGATTGGCAGAAAAATGTTTAGTTGCATGCAGTAAGTATGTAAGTTCTGAGTTCAGGCAATTCTTAGTTTATAATACGGGCAGTGCTCGGTCCTGTCCTGCCCGGATCTGGGGGGAGTTTTACCGTATGCGTAGTCATCAAGCAAGTAATTACTGCACGATGGCTGCGTCGGCAGCCACCATTGTGATTGCATACAGGTGACAACATGACGACAAGGGCCCGCACAGCGACTCACCAGGAAGATTAGAGGTGGGTTGCCAACCAGAGCAATTGCAGTACTTAGCTTTCTCTTGTTGCCACCGCTGCAGATACAAACCAGACAAAAGATGAAATTAAAGACATCACTGAGATTATTTTCCATGAACAAACTATTTTTTTAAGATCTTTGAAAGTCCACTGTAGCCTCGTCATAGTTGCGAGTTGGGTATATTGAAAATGAACAAACTAGACGAGCATAGTCCATGGTGCTAGCACATTCAATATTGCAGACACGGATGTTAGTGAGCAAGTGATCAAGTGCCAGTCGGCGGTGCATTACCGGCCTTCTCAGCACCGCGGCAGCTACTAACATGCTGATCGGTTGACAGCATGCTACGCTTGTACACGGCGGCGGGTGCACTGTGTTGAAAACAGTGCTTCCGACTACAACCATCATCGGGTGACAGAACACAGTGCGTCCTCCGCCCTGTAACGTGCTGTCAACCGATCAACATGTTCATCTATCAAACAAGGTTTGCCTACACCGCCAGCCACTAACCTGTATGTGCCGCAGAGACGTGACGCCCACTTCTTCAAGTCAAGCTCTTCAATGAGGTTGTCGACCACCGACTGGATCTTGTTCGGCGGAATGCCGCGAAGGCGGGCAAACATAGTGAGCAACTCGTATGAGTTCATCTTCTCAATAAGGGCATCAAACTGTAAAGACAGTGAATAACAGACAGAGACATATCCAACGTCAGAACCCACACAGTTAACACAACAATACTCTACATTGGTCAGGTGCTGCTGACAAACTACAGACAATTTACACTGTAATTATACTTAGAAGTAGGACACACTTCAGGCTCTTGAACATTTTGAAAGTTTTCACTAGTATACTTTCATGCCTTATCATCAGGTGAAATATAGGAAAAATCAAATGAACACGGACAATGGATTAAATACAGCAGCGAGGTGATAGAAACAGCACAAGGAAGAAGAGCCAAAACAACAGCGTGAAATGCATGACCAACACACATAGAAAGTAATGGGGAAAAGGTGAAAGTGTGAGCCAGCCCAAAAAGCGTGAAGTGCGGTGCGACAAAAAAAACAGACAACAAATAGACAAAATATAACGAGTTGTTGACGAACTACCTAACAGCCTAAGCGTGAATTTAATCTGCTTCTGTTTACATAAGTTAGGCTTCTTGGTGTGAATATAAACAGCTTCTAAAACATTCAACAACTTCGCACTGCGAAGTTACAGTGCATGCTTATTTATGTTGAGCAAGTACACGCTGGCAAAGTGGTGACCACAAATAGTGGTGTGTGTGTGGGGGGGGGGGGGGGGGGGGGAGTCGATAAGTGGATCATTTTCCAAGTCCACCCAAAGTTTGGGAATTTCAGGGGGTGTCGGCCATTGGACGGTTCAATAGCCAATTGAGTCATCTTTCCAAGATTCCCTTTCGAATCTCTCCCCTTTCCTGGGGAGACCCACGTGACCAGTTTTGGCAGTGAGCAACAAGTAGAACAAGTAGATGTGTGTGTGTGTGTGCGT